TGCATAATAAATACATTCACTGAGCACTTTATTAGGAACACTACACTAATACTGGGTAGGGCCTCCCTTTGCTCTCAAAACAGCCCCAATTCTCCATGGCATGGATTCCACAAGATGTTGGAAACATTCCTTTGAGATTTTGGTCCATGTTGACATGATTGCATCACGCGATTCCTGCAGATCTTTCAGGGTGCAGTTTCATGCTGTGAATCTCCCGTTCTACCACATCCCAAAGGTGTTCTACTGGATTCAGATCCGGTGACTGGGAAGGCCACTGAAGAGCACTGAGCTCATTGTCATGTTCATGAATCCAGTTTGAGACGACTTTTGCTTTGTGACATGGTGCATTATCATGCTGGAAGTAGCCGTTAGGAGATGGGTAAATTGTGGCCATGAAGGGATGCACACAGTCAGCAACAATACTCAAATAGGCTGTGGCATTCAAGTGATGATTGATTGGTATTAACAGGCCCAAAGTGTGTCAAGAAAATATTCCTCACACCTTTACACAAGGCTGCGTGTGTAGATGAACTTGAAGAACTGTTGTGTACACACAGGGGATCGTGACATTTCCCGTGTGAGCATTGCTGATAGACTGAATTCTTCACTGCGAGTGTTACAAAAGGAAAAAAAAAAGATTTAAAAAAAAAATTTTATTAAAAAAACTCATTTATTGACCAGATTATGACTGGGCCAGGTCTGAAATTTGATGTGAACACTCTTTTTGAAGAAGACCAAGTAAAATATAATAATAGATTGCCTTGAAATGCACCAGAAAAATAGATCATTTCTGCCCACTTTCTGTAGAATATGCCTTACCACAGTTGTACAGAGTGGTTATCTGAGTTACTGCAGCCTTTCTGTCAGATATAACCAGTCTGGACATTCTGTGTTGACCTCTCTCATCAACAAGGCTTTTTCTGTCCGCAGAACTGCCGCTCACTGGATGATTTCTTTTTATTGCACCATCTTGAGTAGACTCTAGAGACTGTTGTGTGTGAAAATCCCAGGAGATCAGCAGCTACAGAAATACACAAACCAGCCTGTCTGGCACCAACAATCATGCCACGGCCAAACTCACATTCGAGATCACATTTTTTCCCCATTCTGATGGTTGATGTGAACATTACCCTTAGCTGCTCGTCTGTATGTGCAGGATTTTATGCATTGCACTGCTGCCACATGATGGTCTGATTAGATAATTGCATGATTGAGTAGGTGTACAGGTCTTCTCATAACTTTATGAGAACAAAACTAGGCAATACACATTTTTGGGGGTCAAGATTTTTAGGGCCAACTTAGATGATGTCACATGAATTAAGTCATGCTATTTCTATCACTCAGTTCCACTGCAAGGGCTCAGTAACACAAGTTTTGACTTTCACTACTGTATCAGGCCAGAAAAGAAAATGCTATTAGGTTAAACAACCCCAATTTACCTGACGTCCCAATATACACTATTTGGCCAAAAGTATGTGGAAACTTGACCAGCACACCCCACTTTTGTGATGAACTGGAACACTGACTGCGCCCCAGGCCTCCTCTCCCAACATCAGTGCCTGATCTCGTGGTCTAATGCTCTTGTGGCTGAATGAACACAAATCCCCGCAGTCATGCCCCAAAATCTAGTCGAAAGTCTCACCAGAAGACTTAAAGCAGCTACTTATAGCAGTTATTATAGCAGCAAATTGGGAATGTTTAACGAACACATATGGGTGTGATGATCAGGTGTCCACATATGTTTTACCATATACTGTATCTGAATTCACCCTTTCCTAAAAGATGATGGCGAGTCACCTGAAAAATAGTTGCATGCATAAGACTTCAAGCCAACTAACATGCATACATGATTATAAAAGATTAAATAATAATTTAACCACCATTTATTTTTCTCTTTTTGGTCCAAATCACACATCACATTTCTGCAGCACTATAGCTGTCCTTTGGCTCTGTTTCCAAAAAAAAAGAAAAAAGCCCCACAAAACATGCTCCACAGCATGTTTGGTTCACTTCCAGCAATTGGGTCGATTAAGGGTCGAATCACTTTCGCACTGCAATTCAACCACGCTACAGTTCACCTCACTCACATGGATTCAGTTATTTGCCTAAAAGAACCACATGAAGGGAGCAAACATAGCAGGGTTTGAGTCAAGCGGTCAGAACAGTGCACACTGAAAAACCATGATCATTCATCCCTCTTTCTTCTTCATAATATTACACATCCTGTTCTTAATTAAAAGACTAGTACTAGTCTTGTAATGTGTACTAGTCAGCGTGTACTCTTATAACGTGTACTAGTCGGCGCTGCATTGTAACTTACTGTGCCCATTGTCTTGTTTTGGGACTTTTGTACTGTACTGTCTTGTGCTGTTTGCACGTTTGCACTGTGCACTTTATGTAAATATATGTAGTCTCCTGTAGTTTTGTGCTTGTTTTATGTAACACCTTGGCCCTGGAGGAATGCTGTTTCGTTTCACTGAGTACTAACTAGCTGTATGTGGTTGAAATGACAATAAAAGCCACTTGACTTGACTTGCTTCCTCTGTACTGCTTATCCTACACAGAGTCACTGCACACACATTTACACACCACGGCAAGTTGGAAGAGCCAGTCTGCATGAACACGTGTCTTTGGACTAGGGAAAGAAACTGGAGTGCCCAGAGGAAACCCCCACGGGGAACATGCAAGCTCCATGCAAGCAGGGCAGAGGCAGGATTTGAACCCCAGGCCAGAAGGTGCAAGGCAACAGTGCTAACCTCTAAACCATGCCCCCAATTATAAAACATATCTATTCATACTTTACCGATGCCGAGGGGCTTTAGCTGAACAAACTCCTCATCAACAAGCACCACTTGAGGAAGCACGTTTCTGATACTCTGGCGACAACATCCAAAACCCTGAACCAGTCAGTCACGCGCATGGACACGCCCCTTTACGCTCTGCTCACACGCTCTACTACAGCGCCAGTTCAGCTCTAAACGGCTCACACGCTGAGCGCGCTCAAGGCTCCGCTACCGGCGCGGCTCACGGACGCGCGCGCACACGGACTGGGACGTGACGCTGGAGGAAGTCGCGTAACACAGCTCATCTAGACTTCCCGAGGACTCCTGTAAGCGGCTACCTTTACCAGCCGGAGGCGATGACACACATAAAGCCGTCACAATTTTCACCCTACGATTTGCGGATCTCCACTTTAATTTCCTGGGGAAAAAAAGTGACCGAGCGCGCGCCACTTCAGTGCTGGTGGAGGAGTGACGGGTGGCATCACGGGGAATGGAAGTGATGTCTGTATCTGCATGTGTTATATGTGTGGGACGTGGGCTTTGGGGAAAGGGAATTTACTCCTAACATCACAGAGATTGGCGCTCTCAGCTATTTCTGCCAACTGGCAACATGAAACACACACTTTGGTGGAACTTGGCCAGATTTACTGTGTTCTGGAGACTGGTACACGCACAGGTAAGCCAGCATCCATAAGATCACTTCTAAGCCTTTCTTGCTTCCATGTGGTCTAGTCTTCAATATATTATGCTGCAAAGTCTTTACCAAAAATTTCTAGTATGTATCTACCTGTGTGTGTATGTGTGTGTGTGTGCATCACATATAAGGGAATAAGATCACCACAAATTTTAGATAAACAATATTTAAAATGGTGATTCTTTGGGAACAAAAGTAAGTCTGTGTTGTTTTTTTTTAATTACTTATGATGGAGTTATAAGTCACTGTCAAATTTTTTGTTATTCCTAGATATTGATAAAAGTTTTGACCCTAAATAAGGTCAAAGCCGATGAAAATTTTCAACTTTTTTCATACATGGTTAAAAAAAAGTGCTGTAAGTTTACACTATTTATTTTATAGCAAAATACAATTGTATTATTTTTACAGGATTGTACTGTAAACAATTAGGCAATTAGAGCATTGGTTTAAGTGAAATACCAGAAAACACAATGCATTGTGGGATATCGGATGTTTTTGTCAGGGATGAGAATGGTAAAAACTCTCCTTGTGTCAACATCTGTAAATTAGTGAATGATTTTTGTGCAGTTTACTTTAGTGACTATATCAGGCGAATACAAACCCTTTTTGAGTGTGAGTTGAGGTGAATGACTCAGTGCAAGCTGCTCAGGCTAGTTGTGGTGGCTCTGTGGTTAAGGTTTTTCAGTTATAGTTCAGAAGGTCATGTGTTCAATTCTCAACACTACCAGTGGGTGATGCCATGGTTGGGTCCTTGAGCAAGACCCTTAATCCTTCTGCTCAGTTATATTATATTATATTACTGCAGTTTTTACTGTAAATGTTTTACAGTGTACACTTAATTAATATTTTGGTGTAAAACCGCATGTATGTTAAATGACATGTAAATAACACATCTATGACATTAACTTATTTTGGAAAAAAAAAAAAAAAGGTCAGCTAGAACCTTATAATATAACCACCTTTGGGTGGATTAGAGCCTCAGAAAGGTTATTCAACAAGAGAATGACCACAAATAAGCATCCAAATTAACACAGGTTGCAGAAACGAAATCAGAGTTTTACAATAGACATCTCAATCTTTGGACATACACCACTCTGAAAACCTGTTGTCTGAACTGAAATGGGCAGTTCACATACATAAACCTATATAGAAGTTATACATGCAATGAATATTAAACAGATAAATAAATAAAAGATCTGCAAAGTGGAATATCCAATATCCTCTGCAAATGTCTTCAGCCTTATTAGACATTAAAAGAGGCTTCGCCAAACCCATGGTGGATTCCTGCCAGTGCAGGGTGTATTGCTGCCTCATGCCAAGTGTTTGGATCAATGAATGAATGAAGGATGAAATTCTGTTCATCTGAAGTTCTTTGAAACATTTGGCACTACTTAACAAAATTTTGTTACTCTTTCGGCCGCTCCACTTTTGCCCTTCCTGACGCAACCCTCCCCAATTTAATCCAAGCTTGGGACCGGCACTGAGAGTGCACTGTTGAACACAACCCCAGTGGCTGGGGTTGGTCCCCTGGCCAGGATTCGAAGCCGGGCCACAGCAGTAAGAGTGCTGTGGTCTAACCACTAGTCCTCCAGGGACCCATACCGCTTAACAAAATGTGTTATGCTTTAAAAAATCATGAAATTTCAATGATTTAAAAGTGACCACTTTTACTGCATTTGTACCCATATCCAAGTAAGCATCCTACCCTCAGAACACCCTAATTGTTCTGTCCATAATTCACATTGCTCTTTTTTTTCTGCTGTGTATTTACTCGTCTCAGTTCCCTTCTTTATATCGTTCTGTCTTTCACATGATTGGAAAGTTGGACTGTATCTTGCCGTTGTGACTTTGCATTATGAACATTTTATGAATAAATTATTTCCGAGACTTCCACATTCCCAGCTCTACTGCAAAGCAACAACATGATTGGCACTCATTTTTTCACTGCTTTCTCTCACTCCCCCACTTACTGGGTCTTCTCCTTCACTTTTTGTGAGCTCCCATTTTTACCATTCTGCATATGTACATAACTGCATGAGGTGATCTTAACAGGTATAAGAAATTGCTGGAAAAGATCACAAATGATCATGTGGAGGTAAGAGAGAAATGTACAACAAAATCTCCAGTACTGAATTAACACCTACCCTGTTTATTTAAATCCATCTATAAAGGTGAAATAAACATTGGGTTTGTATTATAATTTCAGGTTACATTAAAAAAATGGGTTAAAAAAAATCTTCCAGGTCTTCAGTCCACCTATGCATGTTTACATTCCTCTATGATTATGAAGCATATAGTAAAACAAACAGCAACTTGCTTTACTTTTTATTGCATCAGCTGAATTCTGTTAATCAACATAGTTACAGTTGACTTTCAAATAAGAATTTATTGATAGTAGTATTCTTTTAGCAGGCTTGCAGTTTTTGCTGAAACTGACTAAAACTGATAAATTGCGCTTTTGTAACCACTAGGTCTGCAATATGTAACTGTCATTATTTGAGCTTTGTACCACAAAGTACCACAAAGTCTATTTCAATGTATTCAGCACTTTGCTAGAAACACCATATGGGAATATGGTATAACAAAAAATAAATGATCAGCACTCAATTCTCCTCAACAGTCTGAGAAAGAGATAATTATGGCTTACAACAGTCCTATCTTCTCACATGCCTCTTTTATCTTCAAAAACTGCTGGAACTTCCCAGAAGATTGGAGGTTATTATAACAGCTAAGTCTGCAATGGGATATTCAAAAAGCATATATGACTGAGATGGTGAGATGTCCACAAACCTTTGGCCATATACTGTATCTTCAAAGGGGTTAAGGATATTGAATTTTTTTTCAATTCAATTTTATTTGTATAGCACTTTTAACAATGAAAATTGTCTCAAAGCAGCTTTACAGAACATAAGAAACAGAAAAACATGCAAACAGTCCTAGACGTTAGACAAAATGATCCCTAGTGAGCAAGCCTGAGGCGACTGCGGAGAGGAAAAACTCCCTTAGATGATATGAGGAAGAAACCTTGAGAGGAACCAGACTCAAAAGGAAACCCATCCTCATTTGGGTGACACTGGAGAGTGTGATAGAACAACGTCCTTTCTGCATTTATGTATAGTCAATGCACTGGATATGCACTGGAGCTCATGACCATTCATCCCTCTTTCTTCTTCATAATATTACATATTCTATACTTAATTAAAATACATATGTATTAATTTTTATTACTCTTCCAATGCCGTAGGGCTGCCAGAAGAAGTGAAATACCTCTGTCTGAAGTGAAACACCAATCATCTTAATCACATGAAACTGTGACTCAGTGTTCAGTACTAAGAGCTTGTCTCTCCTCAGACCCATCAATATTTCTCTGTCAGCCTCAACTATGACAGACTATGGACTACTTTTAATGCCCCAGTTAGAAAGCATGCCATAAATTCTGTTTCTTAATTATTCATTTAAGTCAAGGAGGACTACCTCTGTACAAACACAAAAGAAAGTTAACGAAACTAATGATGAGACCACATTTGTGGTTCATTGCTGCATTTTGAATAGCAGATCTGCTCTGGGAGGAAGTGTGTACAAGCCATCTCAGAGCCACAAGTAGGCTTAATTGCTGAATTCTGTACAACATGGGACGAATTAGCCGTAGAGGCTGAAATGTGTATAGTAAATGGCAGGGCCAGTCGTTTCATGGCCATTGCATCCTATTCCAATGGGCTGTACTCTGATTCCACTAGTGTGAACCACAAATGGCAATGAGAGGATCTGGCTGTTACGTCCTGGGGTGTTCGTGTGTTTTGTTCTCTCCCTTTTTTTTCTCTCGCCCGCCTCTCTCTCATCTCTCTCTCTGCAGCACTGCCTCATTGGTTAACGTTCCTGTCCATCTTGATTAACCCCGCTGATGTCACCGGCCGTGACGACCAATCGTCTTCTGACCCCGCCTATTTAAAACCCGCCACTATTCATTCAGAAGACTCTGTTCCCGGTTTATGTTAAAAAAACTCCGTTCCTCTGTTTTCTGTGTCTGTATTGCCATTACGCTGCTTTATTGTATGTGGTGGTGTTCTTGTATGTCGATTGGTCCGTGTTTTCCCCGTTGTGTTTAGTCACCTGTCTGTTTTCTGTATGTTGAACATTGTTAGTGTTTGGGGGAAAAGCGGATAGGTAAGTACGTCACGTGACATACATAGTGCCACACGTAGGATTTCCGGTTTTTCTGTTTAGACTCATTAGGTTAGGAGCGAACACCACCCTCTGTACTTTTGGTTTTTGGTAAGATAGAGTAGGGTAGTTAGGGCGTCCTGGACGCTGAAGACTTTTCTTTCTATCTTTTGTTATAGTTAGGTTAGAGGGCTGTGAAAATAGTTAGACTTGTTTTGTTCTTTTCTTTGCTTTGGTGCCGCTCGCGTCCCTTTTCCAATTGTTTTTTTTTTGTTATGTGTTATTGTAAATACTTTGTAAATATCACTATTGCACACACGTATTTTCGTCACTTGTATATAGATAAATAAATCACTTGGTACTCGCAATACTTGGTTTTGGTCTGACTACACACACACCTATTATTATTATTATTATTATTATTATTATTATTATTATTATTAATCACCATAAGTGTTATTCCCCACACATCCCCTAGACTAACTGGGGACGTAACACTGGCATTGGCAAAAAGGTTCACCTGTGCCTTGCCTTGCCTTCACAGACTTGGGTCACGTCACTTTCCCAGGCATACAACTTGTCTCGACAGTCCCTAACAGGCTAGCCCACCTGAGTACGTTCCATGCAAGGGAAAGAGAGCTGTTTGACTTTATGCTGCCTTGATGAACATTGGCCGAGTAGGCTAGCATGTGACAATGTGCCAAAAGCATTAAAAAGACTTGCTAGGCCAGGTGGACCGCTCTCAATTCTCGCTGATTTATGTGTTGATCTCACACCAGAGGGCCAAATGCCACCTGTGCCTCTGTGACACCACACTGCTCCTCAGCCAGTTAGGCATCCATGTTGACTGTCCCACTCCTGTGGAGCACAGCTAGCACAGGCCTTGTGTCACCAGCAAGCTAGAACTCGTGCCACTCATGCTGAGATGAGGGTGTGTCTTTGTGTTTTTTATTTGGGATCCAGCCTCAGGCTGACAACCCACTTCTGGCTTGTTTAATCACATGGCTAACTAAGAACGTTATGTTGTGGTGTGGGAAAAAACACTTTAACACACTAGCATTATGTAGCCACAGGCCTACTAGTTCACCAGATGGTGGCAGATGTGGAAAACACTGAGAGGAAAAAAATGCAGAGGAAGAAACTGACTGATGGGGAGAATGAAGAGTGAATGGAGGAAGACTGACTCCCACCCCTCATTGTTGTGCTAGCACTCCAGCTCAGTAGTGATCAGCATGCTGTAGGAGCACCAAGGGGATCAACTT